CACCCCTTCCTCCTGCAGCCACCCAGAACCTGAGCTGGGCTACCCTGCGTCTCCACCGCCATCACCACTACCTCCGGGCTGCCCAGCCAGGCAGCGGTGGCAGTGCAGAGCAGACAAAGGGCAGCCCAGCGTGGGCTCCAGGCAGCTGCAGCAGGAAGGACACGGCAGTAGCAAGGAGGAAGGGCTGCTTTTCCCCCACACCAAGGAACAGTTTCTGCCTGGCAACTGCCGCTGCTGCTGCTGCTGAGCCTGGGTGGGTGAATGCAGAGCAGGCATGGGGCAAGCTGGGTTGGGGCTGTGTGCATGGGTCCCCACTAGTACCATGGTGCTGCTGCTGCCTGGGCTGCCTAGAAAGGCAGTCGAGCTGCAGAGCTAACCCAGCCCCACTGTGTGCCCAGGAGGTGGCAGGACGTGCCATGGGCGGGCGGTGCCTGGGCCAGGCAGGACCGAGAGACCTGCTGCAGGTCAGACAAAGCCCCTCTGTGGGCCAGATCCAGCCTGCGGGCCATATTTTGCCCACCCCTGGGTTTGAATATACACTTGCTTCCTTAGCAGCCCAGTTGTATCTTCCCACTTAGTTAACACCATCTTTAAAATTGAAGGCTATTCCTGGAAAACATCCTACCATTAGCTCCCTCCCTTTTTATTTGAGGTGCCCCAGCTCATTTATCTCTGCTGACCAGATCAAGCGCAATATGACAAGGGATGAGAGATATTTTCACTTGCTTGGCCACTAAAGGTTTCCTAGATCAAAACCAGTTCCTTAAAGTTTTCCCAGGAAAAAAAATAGGAAGCACATCCCAGATCTCCAAACATGCCACTTACAAAACAGCCTACTGTGTTTTATACCAACTTCAGCTTCCAGATTAATTAATGGCATAGCCCATATTGAACCAATAATTAATATGTAGCACTTATAAAGCAGTAATACATAAGGCATCTGTGAGGCTCAGGGCCCCAGGGTGCTGGGCACTGTACAAACACAAGATAGTCCATTCCCGAAAAGGCTTACTATCACACAACAATGAGCTATTAAACAGATGCCATTTTCCACCTGAGAGGTGATTATGTTTCAGGGATGGATGAAGTGATTCCTATATATAACTTGAGATCCTGCCTGATTTCTGTGCAATTTAATAAAGATTATTATCTACTTACCATTCCTTTGTTGACCACATTCAGTGCTGAATTGGTCTAGTGACAATTCCAGATTTGCTGAAGGCAAGAAAGTATCGATTCAGACTGACACACCTGCCTGAAGTTGGGGATTTGTCTTTGGTTGGTATAGTGCCCATCATCTGGGCACCAGGCAGAAAGGATGGGTCTCAGGAGGCTCTTATTAATTCTCCAGCCTTGTTGCTAGGAAAAAAAGTACAGCTTGGAAGCATCTGTTACAAGTTGCTCCCATTGCCAATTTAGCTTCCGTTGGTAAATTCAAGATCTGGCAGATACTATCTCAGAGAAAAGCATACATCTGCCAAGCAGGAGGCGGCATGTGATTAGGTTTGGCTAAGGGGTGCCAGAACATAACAGCAGAATTCAGCAAGTGAATGAGGAGGGTGAAGGAAGCTAGAAGCAAACTGTATTTTCCAGTGTAACATATAGAATAATAACCAGTGACAGTGTGACAAGGACAAGCTGGGGCTTGTGAGATCTTCTTATAGGCTTGTTTTATGGGAATGTCCCTTTTTTTAGTTGTGCAAATAAATGATTTTTTTTCCCAGTTCACCTACAATATAAAAAATCAAAATGTGTTTTGTTTGGGGCTGATTATAAAAAAACAACTAATTTAAAAAACTCAAGAAGTAAAAATAGAATAGGTTGAATGAAACATGTCATTTAACCTGAAATGAAATGTTCTGTTTTGTTTTTATTTTAATTGTTAAAATAAAACTGAAGTTCAAACTGAAGCATGGTTTTGAATAGAAAAAAATCAAAATGTATTGTTAAAAAAAAGAGTCAAAATGAAATGTTTCATGTTTATGGGGGCGGGTGAACTAAAGCAATTTGCCAAAACCACCACACATTTGTAAAATAGTCTGGTCTATTAGAATCTGCATTTTTATTTTTTTAGGAAAAAGAAAAATGTTTTGTTAGAAAAATTGCACCCAGATCTAGTCTGTTCTTCCTCACGCTAAGTTGCCTAGCTCCATAAGGACTACAGATGCATCACATGTACATGGATTGTGTGATAGTCACTGTCCGCTATCAGATAGTGGGGGTCTAAAGGCCTCAGAAACCGCAACATGTCGCAAAACAGGAAGGGCCAGCAATGAAGTGAGACAAGAATATAGGGGGTCCCAGGTCCTTGTTCCGGACCCAGCATTTTGCTTTTGGGTTTTGTGTGATGAACTAGTGCCAGTTTTATAGGATAAGTGCAAGCATTATTATACAAATGTACTAGACAGACTTTAGTTGTATGATGGTAATTTGTATCTTGAACTGTGACTTTGTCTGCTATTCTGATCCTGAGCTACCGTATCACATAGCCAATGCATTTCACTTATGACTGGTGCCTGATATTTCAGCTTTGGATGCTAGTACAGATGTAACAAATTTAGCTTGCTAGAGTGTGGTGTGATGACGAGGCACTAGAGGGGTCATAGTCTTATTCCAGGGAAAGATTACAGAGTTTATTCTCACGACACTCAGCTACAGAAGAAACTAGAAGAGCATTTGACTGTCTGCCTCATCTGAGAGCCTTGTACTTAAATAGCTGTATAGTTGCAGAGACTTAAGATACTTGCAAGTACTAATATCCTGCAGAAGCCCCCACAGTAGGAACCAGGGTGGGAAACCTTGCAGAACTGCCTGCATATGAATTCCTAGACCTCGAGGATGGAGCTGTGTTGTTGGGCCAGCTTTGCAAATTTCTCAGTGTAACACTGTGGCAGACTGACCTTCTGTCTGGGACCTGGTGCTAGAATCTTTAGCAAGTTATAACACTGCCTGGTTTTGTAAAACCAGTGGAGAGGAGTGGGTGTTGGGGGAACCAGTTTAACAAAGACAGTTTAGAGGATGCTTTTGTGTTTTTTATGCTGCACTTTATCAAAGAAGCAGTATCAATTGCACTCAGTTTTATAAGCATCCTTATAGGCTTGGCAGTGCTATGTTGGCTAGCACTAT